TACTACTCTCTCTCCTCCTCCTCCTCTCTCTCTCTCTCTCTCCCCCCCCCCTTCTCATTCCCCTTTCGAGAACGTGTCCGTAATTTTTCCTTTTGTCTCGTGTGCCGAGAAGAGCAGAGAATTTTTCGATAAATTTCCTCGTTGCATTTGTTCGTTCTTGTTCGAAACGTCTTCGAAAATCTCTCCGTTCCATTTCCATCGCGAGTGTCGGCGAGTATCATTCATTGTTCCTGTTCGTGTTTCGATCACGGACAGGGAAGGGGAGAAGAAAAGAAAAAAAAAGAATCGGTCGAGGATCGATGTTCATTACGAGTAATCGTAATCGTAATGTCGCGGCCGGTGGTGTAGATCTTAAGACCGGTGTGTCGTCGCGAATTACGAAAGAGGCGAAGGCATGAGAATAATTGTCGTCGAGAGAGATACAGGTATCCATCCACGGGGTAAAAAGCGTACGTACCGTTTCTAATCTCGTTGTTGGTCGGATCGATGCGCCTTGAAAAAGATCTCCCGAGGGTCGCGCGATAAATTAATGCGCTTTATCGCGGCTTCTTCAGGGTCGTCCTGGTTCTGGTTGTCAAAGGGAGCCGCGGTTAATGCGAATACGCGACGCGACGCGACGCGACGCGACACGACACGACACGACACGACGCGACGCGACGCGAGGCCGGGCTTCTTCTTGTTGGGCCCGGTGTGCTTTATCGTTTCGGTGAAGAGAATGCACGTTGATCTCGATCGCGCAACGAGATGATTTTCTCCCCTCTCGTTCGGTCCACGCCTCCAAATTATCGAATCGAAATTCTTCTATCCTTCTGCTTAATCGTCGTCGTCCCTCGATGGAATCGATCCCGACCGATCGATCAACCGGATTGTTCAAAATAATCGTAACGATGACGCTTTGGATTATCGGCTATCGACGTTGCATCGAACCATGTAAAATACGATTATGAAAGTCCTCGTCCGATTTCGTTGCTAATCTAATCGGAATCCTAGTACAGACTCGAAAACCTAATTTGCGATCGGTGAATTCCAAGGGCTTTGAATCAATTGATTCGAACGAGTTGAGCTCGCGATGCTCGATACCCGGTGATCGCGAAAGATAATTGTCGCCTGTTATCCATCATCCCTTTGAATTTTTCGTGATTCGCGAGGTAGATGGAGCAGCTCCCACCACCACCATCACCACCACCACTCGGGCACGAAGTAGAAACGAGAACAGAGAGGTTAAGAGCTAGACGGGATGATATTACGAAAAAAAAAACGTACTCTTTGATGTTTCGTAGTATCGTATTGAATGGTCTTTTTTTTTTTTCTTTTTCCTTTTTTTTTTTCTTCTCGCTCGGCATGCAACTGGAATTGACACAGATTTTTCCAAGGTTTTAAAACGCGGGACAATTTATCGCACGATCGATGGAAAAAGAAGAAGAAAAAAAGAAGGTCGAACGAATCTATCTATCTATCCACGAGTACAAAGAAGTATCGGAATGGTCATCACCGTAAATCCAGTCCGAAAGAGTTACGGTTTCGAGCGATCTCCGCGCAAATCACGGTGACTGTAGTATCCCCGTGTGACTGTAATCGGACGCCAATCGGATTCGACGCGCGATCGATTCTCCCGCGATCGGTTGTGCAGAGAAGAAAGTATACAAATGGGGAGTTGCGATTATCGGTCTCAAAGGAACTCTTTATTGTACGCGCATTATTAAATTGTATACAATCGCATCCATTCCGAAATATCTCTATTATTATACACACGCACACATGCACGCACATTGCTTCCTCTAATAATACTGTGACGGAGGTGTTGTTACACTTGCTGTGAATATTCAAATTATATCTACTAATTAAATAGAGGCAACGTTACAAATAAATTATTGGCCCGCTTAAATCTACCTACAAATTAAATTAGTTACAATTAGTCGCGCGTTTCAAGAACAATTACATTGTCTTTCCAACCGTATTATTACATCATGCTCGTGCTCGTGCGCGATGATCGTGCTAAGCGTTACACGAGCGTACGTGTCCCGATAATGCGTGCTGAGCGTGAATAGAAATACGATGACCGAATCGGTGTCGACTCGATCTCTCACGGCTAATCTTCGTATCGAGGCCGTTCGTTTCGCGATTGCTTGACTCACGCTTCCATGACGTTCTACGCGATTTAACGCGTAGAACGTTTCCGTCTTAAACAGATCTTTGACTCATTCGCGTTAAACGTCGATCCGATTTTTTTCCATTTCGATTTTCGTTCCCTTCTGATATTCGTTATCGTTCATTCGTTCGTCCACCCACCCACCCATCCATTCATCCATCCATCCATCCATCCATCCATCCGTCCATTCTTTTCCTATTGTGATTATTAACGTAATAGATAGATTCTTGACGATGAGACTTCCGACGACGACGACGACGACGACGACCGAAGAGTGGTAATCAGATTGAACTGGGAAATACCCCGTTCGTATACCTTGATCCGATTTAATCCGTGTATCAAGTGTTATTTACACGCGATTCTGCTCATGTTCGTTCGGATCAATTCGTCATTTAGTTCGCGCTCGTTTCGATTCGACGAGATATTCGTGACGAGACACGCGAAAATAAAAGACACCCTTTCTCTTCCCCCCCTCCGTCCCCCTCCCCTTCCCTCCCCGGCATTCTTCCTTCTCACTTGCAAACAGTGATCCACTCTTCCACAGTGCAGTTCTGACATTGCACGATGCAACACCAATGAAACTTGCATTTGCACCTCTCGACCCGTCGTTGCCTCACCACGTTGTAACCCCTTCCGCAGCACAGATTGCCGCACCCGTCCCCACCGGAGCTGGTCTTGTTGCATCTACGCCCCGCGGTCCCAGGGATGTCCGCGCTCGGATCTCTCTCGCAAAAGTTTGGCGATTTTTGGTAATAAAACAACTGCTTGGCGAGATCTCGGGGCCTCCTTTTACGCCCGTTCCCGCCCGACCCACCGCGATGTTTCCTCTGCCTCTGCCGATCCGGCCTCCTCCTCCGCGATCCTCTCACTCTGGTCAACGGGGTCACGCTGCCCAGGTTGCTTTGCGCCACCAGCACAGCGTTTCGAAATCGGTCCTTGAGCGTCTTCCCGACTATTCGGAAATCCGGCGCCACTTTCCAGCAAGTCTTGAGCTCGCAGGAACCCGACATACCGTGGCACTTGCATCGCACTTGCATGTTGCTCGCCACCGCCTAAAATTTCACCGATCGTTGTCTCTCGTCGAATAAAATTCGGACGACAAGGGTAGGAGAGAACAAAGGTGGGTAAATAAGTAAGTAAGTAAGTAAATAAGTAAGTAAGTAAGTAACTGAAAAAGATAAGGTAAGGTGAAGTTTGGCGAATTAAACGACGACAACTACGACGACGGGAGATTGAATCGGTGGGGAGGGGAAGAAAAAGAAGAAAAAGGAGGGGGGGAGAGGGGAAGAAGAGGAAGAAAAAGAGAAAGAGAAGGAAAAAGAAAAAAGAAACTAGCATGCGAGGAACGGTTACGAAGACCGTCTTCGGTGCAGCGAGTGCGCGGAGTGGTCAAGAGAGTCGCATGAACAGCGGCTGAAGAGAAAAGGGGGCAATTTCTTTTAAACAAAGAGGTGTCGCGTACAAAACAGTTAATGAGTCTACGACTGGGTGGTCCAGCCCCGGGCTTCGTCTTAATAACGTCGAGGCGAGACCGAGCGTGGAGAGGTGCATGGTGGAGAGGAAAGGACTCGGTTGTATTCTTACTCCTCCTCCTCTCCACCCCTATTCACCGTTTTCTTTTCTGTCTCTCGCTCTCTCTTTTCTCTCTACTCCACTCTCTCGCTCCCTCCCTTGCTTTCCTTTCTTTTCTCGCGTTGCTCTAGCACCACCGAGCAAGAATCACCGTTAAAACGCGGAGAATCAGCGGAACCCGATGGAACGAACATAAAATACCGAGGGAAGAACAAGTATGTATACATACGTACGTACATACGTACGTACGTACATACATACACACATACATACATACATACATATATATATATATATATATGTATATATATTGTCACGGAATGAAATATTTATCGCAAGACTCGGGGAGGGGAGGGGAGGGGGCGGGGAGAGGGCGGACACAAGAGAGAGGGGATAGAGGGGAATGAAAGGGAAGATTAATCAAACGGCTTACCAAGCGGCCAGCTTGATTGTTGTGAAGATTGACCGTCGACTGTATATCCCCGGCCCTCTCGCGCGTATCTAGGAACTGTCTCGAGAACTCCATGCCGTAGTCGAGATTGTGCGAGCACCCGCCCCACTTCCATTGCGTGCCCCTGGCCTTGGCAGGCGGCTTACCCTTGTAGCTGGACGGGTCGCATCCGCAGGAGAGTAACCGTCCCATGCTGCACGCGCGGGCCACGCTGTGCGCCACCCCGGCTGCGGAGATCGCGAACGCGAACGCAGTCTCCCTGTAACCTGCAACCAACGCACCAATTTCTTTTTTTTTTTTTTAATTCCTCGTCGTCCTCTTCTTCTTCTTCTTCTTCTTCTTTCCTTGTTGTTAAACAAGAATTTTTAACAAGCGTGAATATAATCGTGAACGATCGAGATCGATCGAACGTGTGTGGCTGGTTTGGCGTGATTTATGAAGTGTCTCTATACGTTTCCTCTATTCGCTTCTCGTATCGCCAAGTTTTCGCGAACGACATACAACGTTTTTTCGTTATATATATATATATATATATATATACATACACACGTATATATACACAACAACGGATCGTGGACGGGATCGTAGTACACCGGTTCTAGCAAATTGGTGCTCGTTCCTTCGTGACGCAGACCCACGAACGACGAGAGGTAATATGAACGCGACAACGTTTGATCGCGGTTCGTCGCTTCGAGCACGAGCGAGGAGAAGGCGAAAACAGCGGGACACCGCGGAGCCGAGCTTCCGTAGAAGGAAGCTTCGGTAGCGAGTTCGACGGATCGTTGGACGGATCGGTCGACAGACAGCCATCAGACGAAGTTCAGAGGTAGATTATTCAGCCGTCCGTCAAAACAAAGCGTGGCCATCAGCAGCGGCGGCCGGCGGGCATTCATTGACTGCATGTATAAACGATCTCACGCTGGGGTTCCCGAAGACGCAATGCCAAACTCTGACCACCGTCCTCGCGTTTTACGCCAATTTTACGCTCATCCTTTCATCCTCTCTCTCTCTCTC